TGGGAGTGTAGGAGACGGTGCGATTGGCACAGGACAGAGCAGAGTTTAGGGCTGTTGTACATAGGGTCGCTATGAGTCGCAAGCGACTCAATGGCACATAACAACAACAACAAATAACATCATTAGTTTCAAGAGTTATCAGTATCTTATCTATTTTTCCCTCTGTAGAATCTTGGTGGTGTAGTAGCTTAAGTTGAAAAAGTTGGTGATATGAGAAAGATTGACATTTTCTTTCTGTACAGATTTCTGGCATAGGGCTAAGGCAGATGTTCCACACTACTTAAGCAAAAGTATTTTTTTGCTTTAAGATAATTTTAGAGGATATTTTGGCTTAAGGTTAAAAATGATTCAAGAAGTTTCTTGCATTCCTCCATGAATCCAGGGAGTCTTTATTTTGTGAGAATTTAATATTCTCTTCTTCATTTCTCCCTTTTTTTATCATGGTTCTTCAGTAGTCAAAACAATCAGTAAGAAGTTAAAATGATAGCACAGTGAGAAACTATGTGTACTTTACCTAAGGCCTACATTAAATACTTTATAGGACGTAATTCTTTAAAGTTGGCAATGATTTGGTCAGCAACTTTGTTTTAACATTTGTGAATATTTAATGTTTAATCGTAAATTTCAAGCTGAGATTTTCTTTCCAGATAAAGAAGTTATCCTAACATGCAGAAATTCTAATAATAGATGATGATATCTCAGTGTGGGTAAGGAGTGGGCCGAGACACTAGTTAAAAGTTAAATTGTGTCAGTCATCCTCCCCAAAACATTTTACTATGAAAATTTCCAACCAGAAAAGATGAAAAAATTGTACACTGAACACCTGTATTTACCAGTTCACTTTAAAAGTCTCATTTTATACTATTATTTTTATTATGACAAATATTAATATTAAATATTGAATAAATATTATAATAGATATTTGTTATTTATCTTTTCATCTCTGTTTTTATATTTGATGCCCTTTGAAATGAATTGCAAATATTAGTATACTTTGGCATCCTTATCATAAACATAAGTATTCTATAGAACATTACTGTCAACCTAGAAAAATGTCTTCATTCTCTGGTCACCCATTCTCTCCCTGAATCCTTTTAGAATCAGTCACTTGATTTTTTTTAATCTTAGATTGTTTTTACTTATTTGAGTACTGAGAGTTTCCTTTTAAATAATATTGCACTTCACAATACTTATTCTGGAATACATCAAATTCTTAAAGTTTATTAAAGACCAAGGTGTTTTTATGTTAATTATTAAAAACCAAGGTGTTATATGTACTCAAGTTGGAACCTACTTACAGCTTGTACTCCAGTAGTTTTTCAGGACAGTTAATCACATGGAAGGAGATTACAGAGCAGCTGTTGGATTTGAACAATTTGTCCTTGTATTGACACCACAACTCCTTGCCATTACACCACTAGAGCAACTCCTTGTCACTAAGCCACCAAACTATATTAAAGTATTAGTGTTCAAATTACTGGAATATTTGTTGTTGTTGTTAAGTACTTTCAAGTTGGAACCGACCCATAGCTGACTCTCCAGTGTGTTTTCAGAGACAGTAAATTGTGTGAGAGAAGATTTCCTCAGCTTTGTCCTTTGGAGCAGCTGGTGGATTCCAAGTTCATGCCTCTGGGTTGACAGTATAACTCCTTACTAGTAAGCTCCCTTAATGGAATACAGTAAATATATTTAGGAGTAAGAAATATTAATATGTCATGTTTTTTCTCTATTTTGTAGGACCGCCCATAACACAGTCAAACTTGATAAACAACCGTGACCAGCCTGGGACAAGTGCAGTGCCCAATCTTGCACCAGTGGGCGCAAGACTACCTCCTCCTTTACCCCAGAACCTCCTTTATACAGTATCAGAACGTAAGTAAATATCATTTAACTTAAAGTTATTAGACCATAACTGATCTAAGTTTGCTCATGCCACTGTCATGTTATTTAAAAAAATATAATGACTATTCTTAGAGACTGTATCACTGCAAAAGTTGTATTTGCAACCAGTAGGCAGTTTACTACATGACTGCCATATTGACATATTTCAGTTTTGTGTGGAAATGAGCAAGGGCAATGCTTTATGTTTGGAGCAGTCCATACTGCTATAAAGAGATAACATTCCTAGTTTCATTTGTAAGGAAAATAATTTTGAAACATCTCTTAAAAGTTGTTTTCTGTGTGTGTGTGTTTTTGTTTTTTTGTGTTTTTTTTAACTACCAAAACATAGGCTTAGCTTTTAAGGCATATACAGAAAGGGCAGATGAAATATACTACAGAAGAATATTTTACTTTTAACTTGAATGCTAAAGGAAAGAGCATCTTTTAAAACTGTGCTTGCTAGTATTTAAACAACAAAAGTATTGTTTAGCTGTAATCTTTCTCTTGAATCATGTTTATGTTTTATTTCCTAGTATTTATGTTTTCTTAATTCCTTTCTCTCAAAGGCAAAAATTAGATAGTTCCTTGTTAAAAATGCTAGGTTTTCTCTAAGGAGCTAGGGAACTTTATATATATATGATCATCTTTTATGTAACTATTTATCATAAACAATTTTACTTTACTTCCCAAACATTTTTTCATGTCATGGAGAAACAATTCAGCAAAATAGTTAAACCTGAACTGCCCTGCTTCACACCCCTTGACTATGATCAAGTTACTTCACCTTGTTGTATTTAATTTTCTTTAGTACAGTGGTGTTGATATTAAATATTAGCCTTCTCGTTAGAATTGTCTTGAGAAATATAACTGTACTAAATTATTAATACCTAAATTAATAATTAAGTAATGGGGAGCAGTTCTGGATACTTAATAAGCCTTAAGGAGCTCTGGTGGGTAAGAAATTGAGCTCCCAACCCAAAGGCAGGCAGTTCGAATTCACCAGTTCTGTGAGACAAAAATTAGTAATCTACTGTGCAGTATAGAGCTTCTGAAAACCCTCTGAGGACGTTCAGACTCAATGACAGTGAGTTGAGAGTTGTAAGCTATATATAAATAACCAGTTGCCCTTGAGTCAACTTTGACATACACTAAGACTTCATTCATGGGCTCTGTAGATATTTTTCCCAGTGGCGGATTTCCCCCCCCTTTTTTTCCTCCCCTGCCTTAAACCCCCAACCCCCCCCCCCCCTTTTTAGGTAGGTTGGTAAGCTTCTCTTTTGAAGTTCCTCTAAGTACATTGGAACTTTGTACTTTTGGTTAGGAGCTGATTGAGTACAGCATTTATAGCACCCAAAGTATCTAAGTTTATGTATTTTTTTGTAGATATTACTGTCTTCTGAAATTCTCTCATCTCTAAAATAAACCCTATTTTTAAGTTTCAACCTTATTTTTTGGGAAAAATAATTTTATTGTGACTTTAAAGAACATTTACAGAAAAGTTAAATTTTCATTCATTCACTGTTGGAAGTTTCAACCTTCTGTTAGTAGTTGTTAGGTGCCATCTGGTTGAGTGTGACCCATAGTGACATTATGAACAGCAGCTCTGAACCCTGTCCTGTCCTGTGCCATCCTCACAATCTGTGACACACTCAGGCCTATTGCTCCAGGCACTGTGTCAATCCATCTGACTCAGCGTCTCCCTCTTTGCCATCCCTCCACCATTGCAAGCATGATGTTCTTCCCCAATGAATAGCCTCTCCTGACAACATGACCAGAATATGTGAGGTGAAGCTTCATTATCTTTGCTTCCAAGTGCACTCTGACCGCACTTTCTCTAAGATAGAGCTGTTTCAACCTTTTACCACCCTAAATTTGTTAAGGAAGATAGCACTTACCTGTCATCCAGAACTTAAGCCTTGGTGTCATGATTGACTCATTCTCTTGCTGTTGTAGATTTAATTAGTGAATTCTTCTGCTTTTCTTTTTAGTACTATGACCTCTGCTCTTGTTCACACTTAAATCGTTTACTATTTGGATTGTTGTCTACTACCTTCTTGATTCTCTTAAGTTTTACTCCTAAATCACACTGTTTTTTTTGAAAAAACAAAACATGATTATTCTTCATGAGAATGCTTTGATAGTCACCGTTTCCTTCTAAATCATAAAAGCCTTCTCTGATATGTATAACTATAATATGCCCCATACTTTGTGGCTGGCTTACTTTGCTTTTCCTAAACATAGGTCATCTCTGGTGAAGGCAGTTTTGCCTTCTTTCTGTGCCTGTCAGGACTAAACTTTCTTTACCCGTCATCACTCTCATTCATATGCTCTTTTTCTACTCTATTACATGTCTTCTAAAATTCAAATCTTGTAAGTGCTTGGGAAACATTATTCTATCTTTAATTCCTTGTAGTAATAAAAAACATTTCTTACATTTTGAATATTTAATTGCACACTGGCCTACTCTTTGAGTTTTTGGTTTTTGGTGTATGTAAATTTTATGTTAAACTGATTTCTTAGAAGAGGAGCCACACTGACAATTGTTCTTTTGAATACTTACTATCTTAGTCTTCTGATCCCTATCTTTTCACAGTGCTTATTTATTCTATTCATACTCAATTTTTAATTCTGGGGAAATTTAAGACATAAATAAAATGAAAGACTATATGAATTCCCATGTTTGTACCAGGCACTCAGCTTTAACCAACATGCAGCCATTGCTATTTTATCTGTTCCTTGCCTGAATTAATTCTCACCTTTATTTCAGAATGCCTTTTGAATGTGTAAATATGAAAACCAAACTGTTCATCTGTTTCTTTTTTTTTTTTTTTGTTTTCTGTTTCTGAGGACATACTTTTATGCTGTTAAATTTAGGCTGGTGACTTAATGTTAAACTTCCACTTTTATTTTAATTATCTTCATTGATTTTTCATCTATAACCTTTTTTTTTAAAAATTATTATTTGTGTGTGTATACTGTCAAATCAGATCTGACTGGTACAGGAGGCGATTGTTCCTCCTTCTCCAGCTGAGCATCTGGTGTATTTGAACTGCACGCCTCCAGGATTGCAGTGCAGAACCATTTATTTTAAAAAAAATACCATTTCTTTTTTTTTTTTTTCCCATGGCTTGCACATACTTTTTATTTGTTGAGTAAATGGGTATTTTTCACTGTGTACATAAACACCCAGAAGCGAGCGTAGACATGAGTAGTATCTGGATTCGGAGGCTCCCGGCCACAGGCTGGCCGCGAGGCTTCAGGGAACTGAATCCGAGCTCTGCTTCCTCAACTGTAAAACTGGGGTCTTGAGACCTCTGTGGGCCCCACACAGGTTTATTGCAAGGTTCAAATTCAGAAACCTAAGAAAGTGCTGGGAGACCAGCTCAGGGCAACACAAATATAAATAGAATGAGGAACAGCGAGGTGAACTTCAAGTGGAGGAATACGTCATCACGCCCTCGAGTGACCAGGGTCCACATGGGGTAACCAAGAGGTCACAGGAGAGCAGAGGAGAAAAAATACCATTTCTAACATTATGATTCTATAACAGTTGCATTTTTAGTTTCTAGAAACCTGGCAGTGATGATTTAATTGAATGATTCAGTTTAATATTCATTAATTTAGCTAATATTATTAATACTATGTACCAGTCATTATATTAAATACAAGCCACAGTGAACAAGTATGTCAACTTGTATGACTTGACATCCATTTTTCTGTTCATTTTAAAAACAAGAATAGCTGTGCCATGAAGGTCGATTGGACTGGAGGTTTCAAACTTGTTCTTTAGAGATTGTTGACATTTTCAGAAAATGTAGGGGATTAAGACTGTTAGTTATTTCTTATTTTGCCAGATTAAGGCTGTATATGAAAACAGCTAATGTCATTTCAATTTTAAGAAGACATTTTAAAACCAATAAAAGACAATGATCCTAGAATCCCAGAATAAAGAAATGGAAAATTTTTTCATATTTGGTTGTATGAAACATTATACATTTAGTTATATTTTGTCTCTGGTCAATAGAAAGGATGGTAACTTCCCATTGGCATCTATGAATTACTGCTTTAGAAGATAGGTTTTATGTTTGATGCCACTGTCTCCAAAGAGATACAATTGGTTGGCAGCTGTTTTGCAAGTTAATAGAGTCTGCATGATGGGAAGGTTAAACCTTAATCTACTATGCAAACCAGTTTGATTTCTTTTTCTTTTTATGTATATGTGAAATTTACAGAGAAAGTGTGAAAACTTTGGACTGTTCCTGACAATGACCTGAAAGAAAAAAAATACAAACTTCTATTGGGTGCTATTTTGTTAGATTTATTATCTTGTTATTGTTTTGGTGGTGGTAACCAGAGGTAACCCATAGCCGACCGTCCTATGGGTTTTTAGAGGCAGTTTTAATAACTTGGGAGGAGATTGACCATATTTGTCCTGCAGAGCAGCTGGTGGATTTGAACTGTGTGCTTTTCGGCTTGCAGTGCAACTCCTTACTACTGGGCAACCAGAGCTCCTTTATTTTCTCTTTAGTACATTTTAAAAGTTTTTTTGTTTCAAAAAAATTAACTACCTTTTCTAATAGTGGTGCTCAGTTTCTCAAATGTTTCCTTTTCCAAATCTATAATTAGTAATTTCATAAAAATTAGACTTTATTTTGGTCCCAGTGAAATAAAAAGCTACATGTTTAAAGATGGTTTTACAATTAATAGAAAAGGTGAGCTAGTTCAGCAGTTTGGAAAGTCTTAAATTATAGATTTTTATGACATTACAGTTACTGCTAGCGTCTGTAGTCTAGAAAATATTTATCAATAAAATGCCTTTTAGTTTATAAAAATTATGGCAATGCTGTTAGTGTTTTATGCCATTTAGTAGACTGACCCATAGCAACTCTGTGAGCTGTGGATCTGTATCCTGCCCAGACTATCCTGTACCATCTTCACCATCTCTGACATACTTGATCCTGTTGTCACAGTCACTGTGTCAATCCATCTTC